CACCCGGCTGGGGGTGCACCCCAGCCCCAGGCAGAGCCCCCCAATGGGGCACGCGGCACTTTGCCCCCCCTCCATCAGCCCCACCAGCAGCCGGAGCCTCCCGGACACAGCTGCAGCTCTTCTAGCATCATTACTGCTACAATTACTATTAATAATAATAATATTTTTAGTGACAGGTGAGGGCGGGGGGCTCCGTTGGGCCCTATGGGAGCCCCCCATCCTGGCATTGCCCCTCCTCCCCCCCCCAGGATGATCCAGCACTTCCAGGTGGGGGATGCCACGTCCATTAAGGGGGAGCGGTCAAATTTTGTAAATAAAGGAAATGAGAAAGAACCTCTCCCCCCTCCCCCCCCCCCCCCCCCCCCCCCCGTGCAGGGTACCCCCCTCCCCATGTGTGCCGCCCCCATCCCCAGCTCCCGCCCTGCCCAGGGTGGGGGTCCAGGCTGAGGGACCCCCGGCGCCATCCCCATCCTGGTGTGGGGCTCAGGACAGCGGTGTCTCCATGGGGTCTGCATCCCCTGCACGATGGTGGCATTGAGGGGGGGGAGGGTGGGGACAGAAATAAAAGGACTTGCAGAAAGGCTGTGTGCTCTGCTGGGGCCTCGGGGTGCACCCACGGGGGTTGGGGAGAGTGTGTGTGAGTGGGGCAGGTGTGCAGCTGTGGGAGTGTGTGTGTGTGTGTGCGCATGCGTGCAGATACAGGTGGGTGTGCACAGGGCTGTGCCATCATGGCCATCCATTCATGGTGCTGCCCACACCTGGAGCACCACCACAGCGACCCCACAGCTGTGGGGCACATGAGGGTGGTTCACAGATGGGAGCAGCATCACCATCTCATCCCCAACCCCATCCTCATCCTCATCCTCATTCCCATCCCCATCCCCATCCAATCCCATCCCCATCCTCATCCCCATCTCAATCCCATCTCCATCCCAATCCCATCCCCATTCCATCCCCATTTCCATCTCATCCCATCCCCATCCCCATCTCATCCTCATCTCCATCCCCATCTCCATCCCTATCCCATCCTCATCCCC